GTCACCTAAAATGTTTCTGGAATAGGCTGTGACACCTTTTGTGTCCAGGATGTGAACAATTGTGGTTCAATGCAGTTACCGTAGGGTGCGCAGTTTAAGTAACTCGGTTCAACTGGACATGTAAACAAATAGTTTCCACTATAGTACTTTCTAAGTGAAATCGAACCAACAACAAAACTACCACCACCACCACCACTATCATCGACATTAAAATCATAAACTTGCATGGTTCTCTATGATTAAATGAAGGGCATTTCATGGTTCGAAAATGAGAGCAGTTACCAAATTTTTTCAGTAAATCAGCCTATACTTAGTGCAAAGAAGATACCGAAATCCTAGTGACCTAGCGAACAATTTCTTAATGGAACTTGAAATTTTTATCAATTCTATACATGCAATTGTGTATTTAACCAACAGAATAATAATACAATAATAATAAATAATAATAATACAAGGAAAGACCAATGCTATGAAATTGCTTTTCATTTCATTATCGAACAAGTTTTATGAATTTCTCTAGCGGGTAGATGTTTCCCCAAACTTACAACGTATCCAATGAAAACTTAAATTGCGCTTACTATTACTCTTCAGGATGTCAGGTGACACATAAATAAGAGGAAAATTAGTCAGTGGTATTGAGGTTCGAACATAGAACCATCCAGCGACATNGCGACATGATAACTTGGTGACCTTGACCGCCGGTGAGCTACTATGACTTCTTTTCAAAGTGGAAATTCGTCGTGCATATAGCAAACGAAGCGTGAACTGAAAAGCTAGGAAGCACCGGACAGTTGTTTCGACCTGGTTGGGTCTCATCAGCAGTGCAAATTCATCAACTCAACTAGGGGATCGAACCCGGGACTTCATGNCGAGTCATAACTCCGGAGGCTAGTGCTGAGATGAGCGAGGTCTGTGACCTGCAACAAGCTCGCAAAGATGGTTTGTGCTATTTCGTGTAAATGGAAGATGCAAAAACGGCCTGATCAGCTGCCCGGTGGCCGAGTGGGTAGCATACTTGCCTTTTACCCATGAGGTCCCGGGTAGGATCCCCATTTGGGTCGAGACAGCTGTCCAGTACTTCCTAGCTTTTCAGTTCACTCTCCATTTGCCATAAACACGATGAATTCCCACGTTGAAATTGAATCAAATCCTCCATTACTCACATGAAATATTATGACTTCATTTGTGAGAAGGGAGAGTATGGTTAGTAAATATTCCACGTCCTATCATCATATTGGAATCGTGTACGAATTGGAAGTTTGATATCGTAAAATCGATCTTTATCGTGGATTCTGTGGATGCAGGTGATCTAGCAGATAGTATCGACCATTCGCATGGGTGGTGATACTGCTCACACAGGTTTCCTGTTCTCTACGTTCAAAAATGAAGACAAAAACTGACAAAACTGTTACGAGTTCTGGGAAATTGAGTTCCCTGAAATGATTTCAGCTATTAGACTGTGAATGAAACTGCTTTACTTATGAGGTCCTGCGCTCAAAGTGTCTCAGGATCAGGGGTCCCATCCTGAACCCGTTGATTGGTGGTTCGTCTCTTTGACAGAAAATGAGTAGTATACAATGCTGACGTAGTCTCATAAGATTGAAAAATTATGCGATTCTATTTTTTAGCCGTTATCCATAACAACCAATCACCGCTATGGAGTTCCATTGTTTACCGTTTTAATTTTATTGTCCATATAAAACCAGTCACTTTGTTGGATCACAATTATTTACGTTCGTGCCTCGGTCCTCGTACTTGTGGTGGACAGAAATCGCTGAGAATTCGTAAAATGAAACCTTGGCACAGTAAAGCCACTCGCTACCCAGAGCACCCAGAAGACTGTTTTTTGCAATCAGTCAGCTCATCCCTTGTTATCTGCCTGCTTCGTAGTAGTAGTAGTAGTTGTTGTTGTTGTTGTTGCCATTGTGTAAGGGCCTAGGAACCGGCACCGGCAAGCGAAACATAAAAAAGCGTGTGTGTGGATGGGTGTGGATAGGCATTATCATCACAGATATCATCTCACCGCTTCCAGGACTGATAAGCCATTTGTCTAACCATGTACCCTTGTAGTAGTTTATCAACGCAGACTAAGTTTATAAACTGTCATTATTAATGCCAAAGGAGTCTGACAAAAAACGAATATGATACTAGTAGATTTGTGTAGTAATCCTAGCTTACTGGATGATGCAAATCAGGAGACACATTACAGTTGTCGGACAACTGTGGTGAGTCAAGCTTTCCAGATGACACTAGCAAAGTGGCCACGCGTTACAGCTTCTGAACAACGAACCATACGCCGACTGTACCGACCAATCGGAATCCGTGCGGCCCAGACAGAAGCTGTACGACGCCAAGAATACGACCACACGATTGGTAGATGCCTCGATAACCAATGAACTTCTTTTGCACATGTTGTTTCACCCCTTAGATTTTTTCCAATAAACGAAGTGCTACTTCTGTTGCCTTGCGTCTCGGTTATGTGGGAAACCGTCGTGCAAGTGCCAGTTTGCTTCAGTGTGTGATTCCTAATACGTGATTTGTAATCCGTGATATGTGCGTAATTCACCTATTACAATTTCAAGAAATAACTATAAACCTAGTGGACTGGGTTAACTGGATGAAGAGAGAGGGTCACGGTCGAAGATGGAGTCTAAAGGATGACCAGTTAAAAGCAATGACATCGTGCACAAATAACTGTGTATGTTTAAATGGGAAATTCCATATGCCTAATTGAATTATGATGCATGGAAGGAATCGGGGAATACCTAAGCAGTTCTATCGATCGTTTCAAAATTGTATCACAAATAAATTTCTACATAAATCAATTACCACTAGTGAAGAAAAAACCCTGAATGTAAAACGTTTTCGGAATGGCATAGCTCAACCAATAACTATCATATCCCGTTTCCATATTCAATGAACAATGCCATCAGTTTATTCTAACGTTCAATGGCTGGCTCCATTCTCCAATTCCAGATCGTTCAACCTGGCTCAAATTATCAGAAACCTTCTTCTACTAAGAAATTACTGATATCTATTACAACGTGCTCAATAATACATGGGAAGACGCAGACAGTTATTTGCTGTTCGTATACATCCGTTCTCGAAATTTCTTGCTCTTGTTGTCTGATGTCCTATATTCCACGAAATTCGCATGGTAATCAGATTTGAACTGTGAGAAGTGAACTGAGAAAGGTTTAGAATTACATGAACTTAATCATTGTAAAAAAAGATTTAATCAACCGTTAACTTCATCTATGTACAGCATAAATAACACATCAAATCTTTACTATCTAGTTTCGGGTCGAGAATCCGATCCGGCTGACCGAATTCGAATCGGGTAGATATGGTTCTGCACTGCATTGACATTCATGATTAAACACGACAGAGCCCGAAAAAAAACATACTCAAATGAATGCACAATCCAGTTGATCAACTCCTCCTTACTGATCACCCCATCCTTGTCCGCGTCCATACGTTCTATCAGACGGGCCAAACGGGCCTTGGCTTCTTCCGGTTCCAATTGACGAAATTGCATAGCCTGCTCGTGGGTTCCCAAAATCGCGTGATGACCAACGTTTATACTAATCGATGCATCAAATGTGTCGTCCATCCCGTTGGACAGAATATCATTTTCCGTCTGAATTGGATCATTTATGAACAGGTCCAAGTTCTCGGTTCTCCCCGCTACCAGTTTCATAGACCACAGAACCAGTAGACAGTACGACCAGAAAGTGGGTTCCCCTATTTTGATCAACTTTTCCATCCCAAAGGTGTATGCACACTCGTCACGCACATATCTGGCTTTATGTATTTCAGTGAAATGGGGGTACGATCGAAAGCGGTCTATTGAAGTAAAACGTGTCGTAATTTCATTGGATTTACTACAGAAACGTGGATGAAGATCGTAGCACCCGTTTTGGTGAAAGTGATTTTGCGAATCCACTTCTTTGTGTCTACCCCACCCTCCACTCCGGACATTCAACTAAGATAAATGAATCCCGATTTTATTACAAGAAGCCTCTGAATTCAATTAGACAATCTGTTTATGTCAGAGACGGGACGAAATTTGCCAAGACAAAGACCAATCCCGAAGAGCCACATTTCGTAGAATAACTGGGCGGTTCCCAGTGTAGAGAAAAGGGACAAAAGAGTGGCGCACAGTATTTGTTCAATTGCACTTGAAATAGATACCAGTTCAGAATGTTATTCCGTTGGTCATCCATACAACCGATTATTTATGACTTTAATGAAAATATTCACTGAATCATTTCTTTGCATCAATTTATTCTATGGTTCCAAAGGAGTAATGTAATATTTAATTCAATTTCGTGACGAAAAAGCTTTTTTTCCTTTTCCTTCCTTTTATTGAATA